TCTTCTGATCTGGGCTGAAATAGGTACCCCTTCAGCAGCCACCCAACCTCCAGGAGGTTCGGTCAGAGCCTTTCTGGGTACAGTGGATGGGGGACCTCGTTGAGAGAGTCACTTAACGGGGGCCAGAGATTTCATGTCCTTATTTTATTCTTTCTGTCATTCATTCATTCCAGAAATATTTCCTGCACCTGCGGTGTGTTAGGCCGTGTGTGTGTGGCTGGTGGTTTCCTCCCCCACGGTCCCTGCTACTGGCCTCCCATTTACAGGGGTAACACCAAGTAGCAGGTCTTCCTTGACATATCAGAGGAATCCAGAATTTCAGAACACATCTGTATACGCTGTCTGAAATGAAGTCACAACGTTCATGAACGTTAGCTCGGAAACATATGGTAATTTACATACAATAATACTTAATAATATATGTTATGCAATTATATAATGAATCCAGTTGGTTCCCACTTCCAACATAGCCCCTTTTGCGTGCCCTCGTGGTCACGCCCCCAGCCCGGGTTGAGATACCTTTTGACTTATCTTGACCTGGCTCTGAATGTTGCCAGCCTGCCTTAGATCGATCTTCTGGCTCTGTGCTGTCCTCTCCCTCTGCTCCGGCACCCATTTCCTACCTCTTCACCCAAGGTCCAGGCCTCCCCACGCCCACCCCCTGCTAGCCACCCAGAAATAGAAGTCTTATCTCCTTCTCCTGTTCGAGTCAGCTGGTAAATGTTGGACAATATCTAAATTCATTATGCTGTCCTCAAGAAAGGACCAGGGGTCCTAGAGCAACCCCACCCCCCAGGGGCTGGGCTGACACAGCTATCTGGTCCAGCGGGGTAGGGTCAAAGGAATCCCCAGCTCACACACTAGCCTACCGCTGTGCCCAGGCAGGCTGGGCTATAAAGTGCTCCCGCAGCTACCTTTCCCTCCGTGTGCCCACACCCTTACCCACCTCTCAGAGCATCACATCCCCTGCCGTTTTACCCCTGCAAAGAACGGAACAGTGATCATTTCCACCAGGACCTTACAAAGCTCATCTTGTGTGATCACAATGCAGAAGGAATCAGCCTTGGTGCGTCCCTCCTTCTAGCTGCTAAAGCCCACACTCCCTCCCTTCTGCCTCCCCCCACCCTCTCCCCTTTCCCTTTGAAGTCAGAGTAAATATTTACAGTGTTTTCACCTCGCCTGGATACTGTCTCCCCTCAAGGTTGCTGGCTCTGTCTCTTTCACCTTGGGCTGCTTGCAAGAGGCAAAAAAAAAAAAAAAAAAAAAAAGAATACTGCCTGTTTCCAGCACTGAGTCTGTCGCTGCAAAGCAAGGAAGGCAGGTACAGGAGACTTCGTGGCGGTGGAGACATGGGACAGGGAGGAGGTCAGGGAAGCTGGTAGTTCTCAGCCCAGACCACGCACTCAGGAGCTAGACAGCCCTGAAGGAAAAAGCTCCCCCGGCCTCCGCTGTAAAGGGAAGGCTTAAGAAGTTGTCACCGCTTCCCAACACAACTGGTTTGCTTGGGGTTGTTACTGAAACGAACTCCACAACTCTTGGCTTCAGAGGCTAGGTTCTCGAAGCCAAGTGAATTGAAGATCGAGTAAGGACGTCTAGCAGTGGACAGAGAGAAGGGAACATCTGGATTTTTACTGAGCTAAGCATAGATTCACATGTAAGTTATAAGATTATCACCACCCAGGTATGGATGTTGATACAATCCACGAATCCTATTCTAGACTTCCCTAGTATTACGTGTACTCATGTGTGGGAGTGTGTGTGTGTGTGTGTGTGAGTGTGTGTGAAGTTTGATGCCAGGCAGCTTCATGCCTCCATCACCTCAGTCAAGGTGCTGAACCGTTCCAGCACCATAAGCATTCCTCCCACCCTACCTCTACCCCATCCCTAACCCCCGGCAACCATTTACCTATCCTCCATTTACTCAATGTTTTCATTTCAAAAATGCTACATAAATGGATTCGTGCAGTAGGTAACCTTTGGAGGTTGTTTTCGGTTTTGTTTTTTTCCATTTCACATAATTCCTGCAGATGCATCCAGGTTTATAAGTATCAATAGTCCATTCCTTTTTCTTGCTGGGCAGTATCCCATGGCATAGATGTATCCCGTGCCATGGGACTATACAAACCACGTTTTTGGTTGTTACAAGTAAAGCTGCTGTGAACATTCATGAACAGGTTTCTGTGTGAACGTAACTTCTCATTTCTCTGGGATGAACGCCCGAGAGTGCAATTGGCCGTGTTCTCCTGTGGCTTTTCCCATGTCTCCCTCTTTTTCCTTCTCCTGACTCTCCTGGGCAAGACATGTCAATACTCGTGACCCAGACAGCACCTGGAATCATACCGAGAGTGGGAGCATCCTCCTTCCGGACCTCTCCTCCAACCCTGGAATCTCCATCCCTGCTGAAACTGCAACTTCCTGGGCCTAGCTCATCCAGTTTAGAAACTTGCCTGGCAGGCGTTGAAATTCAGGAAGAGGGCTGTTATGGAGGCAGCATTTGGCCCGAAGGTAGAGAGACCTGAGCAGAAGCCCCCACCCCACCCCCGCCAGCCTTGCTGCTTTGTCCTGGAGTAGTTACTTCCCCTCAAAGCCTCCATTTTCTTGTCTTCAAAATAGCCTAGATGACGGCCACATTCTCTTTTAACCTCTCACGTTGTGCTCCTGGCCAGTGGAGGAGGGAGAGGCTGACCAGGCCACACAGGGATGGGCCCATGACCAGGGCCTTATTAATGGATTTCTGACCGACTGGGAAGGACCGTTCTCCTTCCTGGGTCCTCACCAGCCTGGCTTGAACGCCTGCTCCGTGCACAGCCCTGTGTCAGACGCCAAAGATAAAAATATGCGTAAGCCAGACTCTGGCTCTCAGGAGCTCAAAGTCAAACGAGAAATCCTCACCAAATTTCACGTGCCGGGTATGGTTCTGTAAATATATTGCAAACCTCTTTATCCTGTGTGGGAAATGATTAAACAGTGTTGTGCATTTGATATGATAATCTGTTGCTTTAATAGAGCCCAGGGTAAGATAAGATTAAAAGAAGTGCCACAAAGGAGAACAGGAGAATCTTTCATCTCTAGAAAGTAATGAAGACAGACCCCAGATACAAGAAAGGTCTGGCTCTAAGTGGCGCAAATTTTAGAAGGCTATAATGAGCTTGACACAATTGGATTTCCATATGCAGCTCTCAACACCCAGTCCTCACCCAAGGCAATAACAGCCACATCCTCAAATGATGAGCAACGTGCTTGAATGTAGACGTGTCGCTGAGGGTAGGGCTGGCGCGGTCCTGGGCCTGGGATGAAAGTTCTTGGCCCAGAGAGAAGAGGACTGACAGGGCTTCCTCGCTTTCCTTGTCATCCTTTCCCAGCCGGATCCCCCTTTCCGCTCTCACCATCTAGAGAAGCGCTCTCCCTCCGACTCACAGGCAGATCTGCCGGGCCCAAGCCCTGGCCTCTTCCCCGTATTCAGAAGCCAGGAAAGGGAGTCGAGCTGTCCCCGTGGGGACACGCAGGCCACAGGAAACCAGAGACCTAGTGTGTCCTTGTGCTTCCGTTGACAGCCTGAAGCCGACTCCCTGGCCTCTTTTTAGCACACGCGACAGCCCAGCAGGACACTCGGAAGGGACGCTTCCCCTTGCCGGGGAGAGGTAGACGGAAACACGGAAATTGCCACAGTTTCCCAAGGCCTGTTGTCACAGTTTCCCAAGGCCTGTTGGCGAAGTTACAGCGGACTTTCACAAAGGCAGGGGAGGGGCTCCTCTGGCCCAGGATCACCTGTGAGTCCCTGTGGGCTCCTTTGCTTCCAGCGGCGTGGACCTAGAGCTGCTTCTACATAGATCTGCAGGAGCCCAGACTCTGGCTGCATTTCTGTAAACCAGCAGGAACCCTTCTCCCAAAGCCCCTTTCCTCTTGGACCTCCCTCCGTGGTTGTGCTGGCGTCGCGGTGCCACTGATTATGGCTATTAGGAAAGATAGGAGCAGCCGGCGTGCCCAGTGGGTCCCGCCTCCCCCTGCCTCTGCAAGCAGGACAGATGCACGCTTGCCTTGAGATACCTGGCGGCCCCCCTGCAGGGGACCTGCTGGGGCCTCCCAGGCTGGGGCCGGGGAGCGTTCCAGTTGTCCTAGTTAAAGCCAGAGCAGTGTGTGAAAATGTGTTCCATCCTCCCCTCTCTCACACACAGGCAGTGGGCCACCGCATCACACGCGCGTGCACCTGCTCTCGCCCCCAAGAAGCACGGACACGTATTGGCCCCTCCATGCATGCATCCACACCCCAAAACAGACCTGCGATTTTAAAGACTTTTACTGATTTAAAAATTACCAGGCCATGGGGATACATCCGTGAACAAAACGAAAACTCCTGCCCGCAAGGAATTTACATTCTGGGAGGCAGTGGCAAGGTAAACGCAGACACCGTATCCTCCCTTAGTCATAAGTGCTAAGGGCAAAATAGAAAGAAGGGAAGAAGTGAAGACATGTTGAAGGGCACAGGATGCACACTCCTTGCTTTTCTCCTAATTAACTGATGTTTGGGCACCTGCTGGGTACAGGGAAGGGCCCCGGGCCCTCGAGGAGTGTCAGGATATCCCGTCTTCTCCATGTCCTTCGTTTCTCCACAGGAGGTGGGAGGGCCCCAGAAAAATCGGGGTGAACCAAATTTCAGGGTCACCAGAGAACATGCTAGCTCTGGAGCTAGGGGCCCTGGGTCTACAGCTGGGTGAGATAACCCATCCTCCTTTCTAGAGCTGGCGATCCAGTTAGAGATGAGAAATACTCTAGTGCGAGACCGAGTAGGTAAAGGTCATGAAGCTTTTGGGAGGAGGCAGGGCTTTGATGAGTGGTATTTCTGCTGCCGGGATTGCACCAAGGCTGGAGAGGTGAGTAGAGACCCCTGGGAACTCTGACCAGGACCAGGCTGCACCGAGTGGGTACGCAGAGTCTCAGACCCAGGGCCAGGGTCTGCGGACAGAGATCCGTAAGTGGCTGGGAAGAAGCCGTTTCCTCCCCTTCATCAGGCATCACCTGAGAACGCAGCCGTGCCGGGATGGCCTGCTGTCACTGGCTTTGCCAGGCTCGCTGTCTGGTCTCTCAGGCTCGCTCACTCTTTTTTTTCTCTGCCTATCACAGAAGGCCCGCCTTGCCAGGATCCGTGTGGCCAAGACAGGCAGCTCCAACGCCTACCTGCACAGCAAGCGCAACGGACTCCTCACAGAGGCCATGGAGCTGATGGTAGGTGCCTGCAGGGCCTGGGCTGGGGAGAGGGAGGGGAGACGGGCTTCTTTTCTCTTTCCAGGGGCACCACCACCCCCAAAGCCCCAGTGTGAACCCTAAGAAGGACATGTTTCCAGACCTTCTCCCGGGAGCACCCCTCCACGGACCCTCTCCCATGGGATTCTCACCACTACCCTGGACCCAGCTGAAGACCCAGGGCTCCCAGCTCCAGAGCTAGCATGTTCTCTGGTGACCCTGAAATTTGGTTCATCCCGATTTTTCTGGGGCCCTCCCACCTCCTGTGGAGAAACGAAGGACATGGAGAAGACGGGAGGAGCCACCAGCGTGATCCGCAGCCTCTCCTCTTTTCTGATTAGGGCACCCCAGAGGAGGGGCACGTGGGCAAGAGCACGTCACTCGCCGAGAGCCAGCACCACCACCTGCTGCACTGTCTAGAGAAAACCACTGTGAGTCCCAGCCCGCCGCGCCCCTTCTCACCCCTGACTCCCACCCTCCTCTCTGAGGGCTGGAGCTCACAAGGGGAGAGCTCTGTGCCCACATCCTCACCCCGGGCCCAGGCTGCAGATGTCCGAGTCTGTCCCCTTCAGATCCAAAGAGTAGCCACGAGGTCTCTGTCCGCCCTCAGGAGGAAGACCCCAAGGAGGGGGGCGGGGCGCAGTCTCCAGGGTCGGAGGCCAGCTCCGTCCTGCAGCAACAGAGAAGCTCATTGCCCCCAGCTTTTCTGCACACCCCCACAGGGCCCCTAGAGCCGTGTTTTCATGGTTACTGAGAGCTGAGGGCTCCGCCTCTGTTTCTCAGTCCGGATGGGCATCACTCTTCAAAACTCGGGCTGAATTTATCCTAGGTTGCTACAGGACAGTGGAGAAGGGCATCAGTTTTTGTCCTGTCCCTGGGGCTAGGCTGATGCAACGTGTAGGTCCCTTTTGCTCCCTACACTGCTCCTTAGAGGACAGTGAATGAAGGAGGCGGTGCCTATATTTCTCTAGCCAGGGATTGTATGGGTACCGCTCCCTCTTAGTCACCCTGCAGCGCCCAAGGAGTTCAGATTCTGCAAGACTTCTTGTTAAAATAGAGCCATGGTTTAGGATGCTGTAGCTGGAATGTGGCATGTTGCCTGTGCCCCACAAACAGACTGAAAGGAAGGGCAGTGGGGCCAATCCTTGACCCTTGGCAAAAAGTGCCAGGAACAGTAGGGAAGAGGAGAAGTCAGGGTGGACAACCCAAGAGAGACAAAGTGCAACTCTTCCCTGTTCTTTCTAGGCCCGCCCTCCCCAGAGAGCCCAGGGTCAGGGCTCAGCACCCTAGGGAAGGAAGTTTCTACTTCTGAATGTCCCATATCCTGGCCTCTAGGTGCAGGGGGAATAGACGTCAGATGACTCTTACTGTGAGCCAAGTGTGGATACTGTGGATGGCAGTTGAACCCAAAGAGGGCTTCCCAAATGGGAAAGTACTCGGAGAACCCTAGTTTCCAGGACTTATCAAATATGTCTTACTGTTAAGAACTGTATATGTATATCTAGAACTTCTCTCAAAGACTCAGAGCTTGCCAACGGGATAGGCCCGGACCCAACTGCCCTTTCCAAGTTGCATGTGCTGGGTGGAATGTGTCAACTGAAAGGATATGGGTAAAGATGTTTGGGTTTGAGGGGCTGGAATGTTGGCATTGAAGGGATGGAATGCTGAATTTGCGGGAGTGAATGTCGGATTGTGGGGCGGGGGTGCTGGGGTGAAAGAGATGGAATGCTGGACTTCAGGGGAGGAATGTTGGGCTAGAAGAAGCAGAATGTTGGGATGGAAGGAATGAATGTGGGGTTTGAACAGGGTTGTGTTGGAACAAGGGGTGGAATGTTGGACTCCCGGGTGGAATGCTGGGATGGAGGGACTGAATGTCAGAACTGAGCTTGGGAATGCTGGAATGTACAATCAATGGTGTTTTTATCTTCTGTTGGCATGTTGTCCTGTAGGGGTTGTCCTATCTTGTGGATGATCCCCTGTTATCTGTACGAACCTCCACCATCAAGGTATCACTTTTTTAAAAATTCAATTGATGTGTTTCTCTCTGAATATTCTGAGTCTGTGGATTCTCCTCTTTTTACCCCCTGGTCTGGTTCTCTGCATGTGCTATCAATTCTTCTGGGGCTTTTCCTACCTCTACTGCCACTCCCAGCAGCAGCTCAGGCTTTGGGGTGTTTGTGCTGAACTACCTGACTGCTTTTCTGCTTCCCTCCTTTGACCTCCCCAAGGGCTTAGAGAGGGTGGCAGAACATGGCAGCCATATTGGTCCCCTGTGAGTGTCCCTGGGCCCCTTCCCCAGCTCCGCAGGGGCTCCTGGTACTGGCTGCCAGGGCTGGTCTCTCTCTGCACGCTCTTCTCATGCTTATTCTCTCCAGAATGGCAGCCTCAGCCAGACCATTAATACCATAGGTTTTTAGTCACCTTGACCAAACAGCCTTTTTTTTTTTTTTTTTTTTCGGTTATCCCGGGTTCAGCACCAGGAGGCTGTTAACATTCCTTCCCCTGCTTATATTTGACTTAGGGAATCCTGTGCCTCCAGATATGTTAAGGATCTGCATCCCATAATCAGGTGGAGGGGGGGAACAAAAAAATTAAAGAAATCATAACCCTGACAGACCCCATTGGCCTTCAAGAGCAAAGTTCTCCCAATTCCATGAATAATCCAGTGCCTTCAAAAGCTTATATCTCACACGTACCCAAGATTCATAAGGATCTTACCCATTAAATCCAACCCAGCATTCAAGACTGCCTAGCATACCCACTCCCCAGGGTCAGTGACTCCTTACCTGCCACCTCCAGGAGATCCTGTGCAAACCCTGCAAAGTAAGTCAAGTCTGCTTCTAGCTCTGAGGATGCCACTAAATCCCTCCAGGTCCTCTGTGTCCCGTCAGCTCAAAGCTGTAGATGGGGTGTGTGTCCCATCACGATTTAATGGCTGCAGTCCCCACCCTTCAACCTGATGGCCAGGGCTGCCAATAGGAATCTTTTTCTTTCTGCATTTGATGCCTGTGGGACATCGCCCCTCCCGAATGCTTCTCCATGCTCCAGGCCGCTGGGATCCCTCCTCTCGACGCCCAGACAGAGACAGGCAGCTACACGGCACACGGGGGCTCATCCCCCTCCTTCCCCATCTCCTTTTCCTACCTATTCTCCTTCTGCTTCCCACAGAACCACGAGTTCATAGATGAGCAGATGTTTGAGCAGAACTGTATGGAGAGCTCGATGCAGAACTACCCGTCCACAAGAAGTCCCTCACTGTCCAGTCACCCGGGCCTCACTACCACCTGCTGCTCCCGTCGTAGTAAGAAGACCACGCACCTGCCCAACTCCAACCTGCCAGCCACTCGCCTGCGCAGCATGCAAGAGCTCAGCACGATCCACATCCAGGGCAGTGAGCAGCCCTCCCTCACTACCAGGTGGGTGGCTTCCAGCCCCATCACTCCCCAAGGCTTAAGTCCTGCCGGTCCCAGAAGGGAACAGCCTCGGCCTTAGGAGAGCCCCAAGTGAGCCCTCCTTCCCTTTATGTAATGCATGAGCCCCCTCCACCTTCCTTATCTTTGCAAGTTAACCCAAAGGCCCTTCATTTGCTTGGGAGGGTACCATAGCAGGTGTAGGCCCAATGTGGGGTTAGATACCAGAAACAGTAACTGGGAAACAAAAAAACAAAACAAAGAAAAACACCTCCCCTAGTGCAAAGAACGGATCGTTTTCCCAGGGAAACAATTTTCACAATTGTGTTAGACATGGCTTATCCCAGGCTGACTTTGAACCACAGACTGACCTTTTCCCTTCCTTCTCTGCTTATACTTAGGCCACTTTCCACTACCTCCAGTGAGTTGCAAGGGACTCAGGGAAAACAAAATTCAAATGCCACAAAGGATAGGTAAACGTCTATGGCAGGGAGAAAAAAAAAACCGCATACTCTGAATTCCAAAGCCCAGTATACAGGACTTCGCAATTGTCAGAAATAATAATTAGAATGGAGAGTGACAGGCTGATTACCAAAAGCAGAGACAGAGGGACGTGGGAGCTTCCTCCTAGTTACAGTGAGCTAGACATGTGGGGGGGGTCAGGGACGCTAGGGGACACTAGCAAGAAGCACCATCACCAACTCACTTTTTTTTATCTCAGTCGCTCCAGCCTTAATTTGAAAGCAGACGACGGACTGAGACCAAACTGCAAAACATCCCAGATCACCACAGCCATCATCAGCATCCCCACCCCCCCAGCGCGAACCCCAGAGGGGGAAAGTCGGCCACCCCCTGCCAGCCCCGGCCCCAACACGAACATTCCTTCCGTAGCCAGCAATGTCGTCAAGGTCTCCGCCTTGTAAAACCACTGGACAGAGGGCCCGTGCGGGGAGTGGGAGTGAAGGGGGCTGGCATGTGGGTGGCCACTGGCACCACTCTCTCCCCTCCCTTCCCCACTTTCTGCCGGCCCCGTTGCACCCCTAGCACTGAGACTTGTGCCTGGAAGGAAAAGGAGGCAGCAAAGGGCACTTGAGGTTCACTGCTGCTGGCGTGGCCGTGGCCGTGGCATCTCGCTGGGGCCAGAGGAAGGGAGGGGGGTGGGAGATGGGATGGCGGTGGGGGGTGGGGGGTGTAGAGGCTGCGTGCCAGGACAGGGCCTGGAGGGGGTAGCCTCAGACCCAATAGCAGTTGTTTCTGGAGACCCGGGTGAGGAAAATACAAGACCAAGAACAGCACAGAGGCCGAGTTGTCACATGCAAAACAGGAAGAAAATATAACACTGTGTATTTAAGCACCTTTTTCAAGGCTCTTAATGGATAATATTTATTCATGGGAAAAGGTGGAAAACAAAACACCAACGGATTTTTGTGAAATATTTTTCTCCATGGACCCAATACCTTTGAACCAAAACAATGCATTTTGTGAGGGTTTTGTTTTGTTTTTGTTTTTGTTTTTCTTTCTCCTTTTATAGCAGAAGCTTTTAGGCTAAGAAGTCAGTTATTGCTGAGTTCTCTCTCCATTCCCCCAGGTGGGTGAGGTCAACTGAGCCTGGGCCCCCACTGCCCAGCTGACCTGCACAGAGCTGCCAACTGACCACACAGCAACACTTTCCCTCCGTCTGTCCTTTGTCTCTGTACCTCTCTGCTTCACCCCCCTGGCTGTTCTTCTCTGTGTCCAGCCATCTGTCTCTACATGGACCCCGGTGATCCTGAGACATGTTAGTAAAGCCTTCTCCACTTCCAAGCACCTGCAGACTCATGCCTGGGAGTTATAGTTGTGTGAGTGCGGCTGTGTAAAAGAAGAGAATAAAGCTAAAACGGAAGAGTTTAGGGATGAGGGAAGTCCACTTTATAGAACAAAGTGCTTCCCTTGCAGGGGTGGTCTTTGCAGTTTCCATTTCTGGGGGAAAAAAAGGGAATGACCAGATTTTTCACACTGGGATCTTGACACAGAAAATAGCCAAGACCTAGGAGGCACAGTGGAGTCAGGCGTGTGCTAGCGAAGAGAGAACAGAAGAACCCAGGGCTCACAGCTGTAGTCGGCCGCTGGAGCACCTTGTTATGTACCCTTCTTTCAAGACCCACCATAAAGCCCATCCAGAATTCTGCCAAGAGGCCCTATAAGCAGTTTCTTGCAGAAAAGGCAAGCTTCCGACTTACCTTATGACTGAGGTAACTCCCATCCAGAGGCTGCAGATGATTAAGCCTGTGCGCTTCATGAAGGATGCTCCAACGTGTGAAAGCAAGTAAGCAATTCTAAATGATTCTTACCTGGCCTGAAAAATGTTTGAGGTCTGAAGGGTCTTCAGGCCTGATGTCCCCAAAGGTAACTGAAGTGTGGGTGAAGCCTGATCACCTCCGTGCAAGGGAAGTGATGTTACTTTTGGAGAACCTGTTCAAGTGGTTTGTACCCTGGGGGGACTGGGAAAGCATTTCTGGAAGCCTCCTACCATTTTTCACTGCTTGTAGGCAGGCAGGTGGGCCTCAGGGTTAGTGACAAGCCCCTGCCCACCCTCCCCAGTTGCGGTCTCTCTAGTCTGGGCTCTGAGATATAGAAGCCCCTCATCCATTCTACAGGTTAGTGATCAGCAGTTTCACTGTAGGCCAAGGACCTCTCTGCCCACCACAACCATCCAGACAAGTTTCACCAGTCGGGAACCTACAAAACACCTTTTGTGGGCTTCCCTATGGCCCCAGCTCCTAATGAAGCCCCAGCTCTAGTGACCCTGTGTGAGGGGAAGGTCAGTGGATTCTGAGGTGGCCTCTAACCAGAAGGTGGCCAGGTGGGCAGAGGACGGGGAGGCTGCTCTCCTTGCTGACCACCGATTGAGTCCTTTCTCTGGGTCTGGCTTCATGAGGGGGAAATCACCCCATGAGAATGGGGTGGTTTTGGCCTTCTGAGCCTGCAATCTAAGTAGACAGAAAAGCTTTACAACTACAAAGGAATATATGTGTACACCCCCCCACACACACAAACACAACACCACCAACCTAAACACACCTGAGAATAAGTACTTGAATCCACTCACTTCATACACATATCCCATTAGGGAAGGCAAAAGCCTGGGCTGGACTCCATGTAGAGGTCAGGCACAGGACTAGAAATGGAATTTTTCCTTTGAAAGAATGGTAATGGAACAAAGTTAGGAATATTGTAGTATCTAAGTTTACATCATAAAAACTGAGTGGGGTAAGGGATAAAGAGGAAAATAAGAACATGGTTACATACATATAGAAAGTGCCCGTGTTTAAGAACAGGTCATCACAGGATTAGAATAATGACAATATCCAACCCAGGATCTGTTTGATAGTGCACCAAGGGAGCATTTTAGCGCTTCCCACAAAAATTAATGAACACGTTTTTAAAAATCATGTCTCAAATAATTTCTCATTTTTTGACCCTAATGAACTGTTTTGTGTTCCTTCAACTTCATGTCTAAATCCCACATTATGCCGGTTCCTAAAAGACTTTAGACTATCCCCTTCCATCTCCATCCCCCAGTGTAGACTTGGCCAGGGATAAGAGACCCAGCTCACCTCTGGTCCAAGAGATGTCAACCCAGGAAAATGGCGCATCTACACAACAGAATACAGCAAGACTACATTGCTGGAAGACTTCTGTAAGTCAACTAAAAGGCCAAAGTGTGCTGAATCGGTGTAATAAATCTAATTCATTGACCAGTGACTGAAGAACCAGGATATCAGGGCTTTCTGGAAGCAGTGGCTTTCAGGGGAAATGACTCTTGAGCTTTCATAGTTCCTGAACCACTTCAGTATAATAGAAGATTCCCAAATCCACTTACCCCATTCGATGCCACTCAGCATTAGAGAGTGTTAAAAAATAATTATTATTATAGGCTACGTTCAAACGAATGGAAACTTAGAAAACATAGTATTAAGAATATATCAGAACTAGAAGGGATTAAGGAATACCTTACAGTATAGAAGGCTGAGGCCCAGAGAAATGAAGTGACTTGCTCAAGATCATGCAGTCATTAATGTCCTAACCAGGACCAGAACCGAAGTCACTTGGCTGTTAGTCTAATGCTTTCTCCACTACACTTGTTACCTCTTGAAGGAACGACGCTTCGGAGAAGATCCATCAAAGAATACATGCTGTAACTAGAGGCATAGTCTTATGTAAATGTCAATACGACTTGGACACGGGCCTTGGGAAAAATTTGACTGTACTGATACAGACCATCCTTTTGAAACTACCATGCCCTGGTTAGAACCAGCTATGGACTATCAATTCTGTCCAAAAAAAGAAAAAAAAAAAAGAAAAAGGCGAACAAGCGAACAGTTTTCCTTCAGCCAAATGCTACCTCTTCTCATTGAAGAGAGGGCTGATACATTTCAAAGCGTATCTTCTAGAGTCTTTGGATCCTTACTACAACCTCTGATGGTAGTAGGTCAAGTGACTAAGTCCTGGATCCACAGAGAAGGAAAACAAGCAGGAAGAAGCTGAGTGACTTATCCAAGTTCATAAGGCAAGTTAGTGGCAGAACTGATTGCAATCCAGGGCTTAGACATCTTGTCCTAAGATTTTTCTCCCACATCATATTGCATTACTCTGGGGTTTGCTTCTATCTTTAATACTTGGATTTCCAGGGTGGTGATTAGGGGGAGGAAGCATTCCATCAGAACCACCCTGAACCAGGACCTCCAGAAGCAAACTGTACTATTTCGCTTTCATCCCCTATGCCCTTAACGTGTCAAGTTCAGGACTAACTGCGCAGATTCCTGCTTGAAAGATCAGATATTCTCAGTGACAGTTGAACACATTAATCTACAATCACACAGGAGTTTAAGGTCAGCAAGTAGAAAAGTGAAACTAAGAGAAACAAAGAATTTGAACAGAAATTAAAGTGGACAGTTAATGCTGATCCATGATTAATGAGAGCCACCCTGTAGACGTGCTGAGGACTTTACCTAGTTTTCAAACTATGATTCCTGCAGTTCAGGATCATATCACTTATTCTTCAGAATATAGGCAGGAAAAGTGTACATTGAAACATGTACCTAGATTTTTTTTCCTTGTCTTCTTAACTTTGCAGAGGTAGTGGTTGAAATGGAGCTAAACCTAGATTCTGAGGTTATTAATGAATTCCAGTGGTCCAGGCTCCCTCCCTTCCACCATCAGGTCACTACAAGGCAGAAAGATCCCAATGCTGTTAATCTAAGGCAATATTAGTTTCCCTTCTAAACTAGTTGGCATGGTAACCATGACAAACGGGAACCTGGAAGACTTTTATTTTCCCTTTCTGATTTCCTTATGAAATCGCATCATTTGCAAAGCTTTAAAATGACTGGACGAAGGAAAAGCCTTTTTATGACCCATGACCCTTGGAGCCCAAACAGCATCATGAAGAGAAAGTGGCTATCAGAAAAAGAAACAGCTTTAAAGGGTTCCTTCTGAGTCTTGTTTTCTATTCAGAATGTTCTATGTTTTTCTCATCAAGTGTGGGAATGACATTTATCTTAGCAGGTTACTTAACTACACTGGATGATGTCACTCCAAACCAGTGTAGGGCACTGACCCAAGTCCTGGGGGGCTCCTTGGACCAATAGACTATTTTACAAACCTGGGAGGTGGGAGGGATGGTATATTTTTGATAATCAGACATTCCAGTGTAATGTTTTCCTTAGAGGTCACCCCCCTCCGTTAATGTTATCGTGAAAAACATCAAGTGTGTTCTTTTCTATTTTCATATAATAAATGGGCTTTGCTTACCAACATCTCAACGGCAAAGAAGAAATACTGTACAAAACTGCAGGAAGATAAACGTGAAAACTTTCTATGGAAAAAAAAAAAAAAAAAAACCTCTTGAGTTTCCTGTCGTCTTCTTTTGAAACTGTAGTGCATATGTTAAAACGTATTATCATTTACAGTACTGAGTCATGTGTCACTGCTGTACCTGATGTATCCGATCTGGATTAAACAGACTATGTGCCACAAACCCTAAAGTGATTATGAATGTTTATTTTCATACCAATTCTCCTGGCTATCCACTAGAAAAAAAGGATAGTTTGAACACAGAGGGGCTTTCTCTCTTGCCAGAGAAAAGCCACAGCATCTCTGGAGGGTGCTGATGGAGTGGTCTCATCTTTCCTCCTCCCCCCCCCCCCCCTCAGTGCAAGCAACCCCTCTACAACACAGACCATGGTTCTTGCCCGCTTGTATGCTTTAGTCAGGGATGTCCACAAGCACTGGGTTGCCTTTGTCAACAGCTCTGTTTTGAGCCCCAGCCCTGAATTACTGAAAGAATACAGAATACTGATATGCCTTTACATATCAGTGCTGGTTCTGCTGAGAATACAGAATCTTTAGTCCATCTAAACCAGGGTCTGAAACTAAAAAGAAACCCCAAAATGAAATGCTGTGTAGGGTACAGCAGGAAGCTCTGGGATTAGGTCACGGAGGCTCACATTTAGGTCCTGTCGCTTCCTTGCATGACTTCCCATCAGG